CAGAGCCAGAGCCCCAGCAGGACCAAAGCCACCCAGGGCCAGAGCCAGAGCCTCAGCAGGACCAAAGTCACCCAGGGCCAGAGCCAGAAGCCCAGCAAGGAGGAGGCCGCCCAGGACCAGAGCCGGAGGCCCAGCAGGACAAAGGCTGCCCAGGGCCAGAGCTGGAGCTCCAGCAGGATGGAAGCCACCCATAGCCAGTGCCGGAGGCCCAGCAAGATGGAGGCTGCCCAGGGCCAGAGCCAGAGTTCCAGCCAGACTGAGGCCACCCAGGGCCAGAGCTGGAGGCCCAGCCAGACTGAGGCTACCCAAGGCACAAGACAAAAGCCTAACAAGGCCAAGGCCACTCAGGGCCCAAGGAAGAGGCTTAGAAAGATCAAGGCTGCCCATGGCCGGAGTTGGGGACCCAGTAAGGCTGCCACCCATGGTCGGAGCGGGGGACTGATCCGAAGTTCTAGCAAGACCAAGGATTTCTATGATTCTAGTTGGAGCCCCAGCAACACTGAGGCCACTCGGGACCAATGCCAAAGATCCAGCAAGACCATGGCTGCCCAGAGCTGGAGCCAGAACACAAGCCCCGGTTCCAGCAAGACTGAGGTCACCTAGGGACTGAGCCCAAATCTCAGAAAACCCCAGACCACCCAGGGCCTGACCAGAACCCCAGAAAAATCAAGGCTGGCCCAGCAGTTACACTGCTCCCTGAAGGGGCCATTCAGCCCCCTCGCTTCTTGCTGGGTATGGAAGATTCTAACCCCCACACACACTCACTGGCCCCCAGCAAAATAGCCTCCTTCCAGAGCAGTTAGATACCTCAGCCAACATTCTTCTGGTCCCATGGCTAAGTTTATTGTATTTGTTCTCTTATAATATTAAAGACTTTAAAAACCAGGCCCAAGTGGCAGCTTGAGTCCCTCTGTTCATGAAGACTGAGAAGTCTCAGCCTGGCCTTACAGTACTGGGACACAGGGTGTGCAATGGAGGCTTCAGAGTATGGTGCCAGAGCAAGGGGCCAAGAGTAACCATCCGAAGAGGGAGAGAGCAGCCATGAGCCACAGTCCCTGAGTTACAATTCACATTTTAAGAAGGCTTAGGCTGGAGGGCAACGGCAAGGCTCACTGAAGTTCTGGGGTCACCAGTGGTTTCTCCAGGGAAGGAAGCAAAGGCCAAGAGACCCTCAGACCAGTGAAGAGGCCAGGGCCCTCTGTCCCATGGCCTAGCCAGCATGCCTCCTCATCTTCACTTTGGGCTCTGGGTCTCACTCTCCAGGAGTGCAGGGGCCCCAGGGCTTTCCTGCACAGCCTGGCCAGGGAGAAGAGAGCAAGGACGCCATCTGGAGAGTCAGAGGACAAAGGCAATTCTGGAGGCCACAGTCTTGCAGCCGTTGGAGGAAAAGAGCTGTTCTTCCTCAGGGAAGAAGGTGGTGCTCTCCAGCACGGCCTGGAGGACCTCCTCCCTTGGCTCCAGGCCCAGCTGGGCCAGCTCGTTGAGCACGCAGTGCCGCACGTGGTGCCGCTGCAGTGGTAGGAAGGGCACCAGGACGTCTAGGAGACGCTCTTCCATGATGCCTGAGCGCCAGAAGCCATCTGCAGGAAGGGGCAATGTGGGAAGGGTCTGTGGTGGGCTCAGGGAGGTTGCATGACAGCCAGGAGCGCCAAAGCCTGGGCTGAGAAATACCGGGTCAGTGGGCCGCGCATCAGACCCTGGGAGAACCTGGCCCAGCCCAGTGGATGTGGGTGTGAAGCCTCGGCCTGCTGACGTTACCCCGGGGCGGGGAGGCCTCCCAAGCTGAACTCACGGTGTGGGTTGTCCAGCACAGCCTGGGAGATGACGGGCTCCAGCTCCTGCAGGCGGATCTCCTCCCGGTCCCGGCGGCCACGCCACGCCTCCAGGGCCACCTGGTTGATCTGCTCGCCACCAGTGTTGCTGAAACCATGGGGAAAGCGGGCCACGGCTCAGAACGTGGGGGGGCGGGATTTGGCCCTTGCTTCCCATGTGCCACCCAATACAACCTGAGCCTGGGCACCCAGCTCAGTACCAGCAGGAGCCAAGCCCACTGAAAATACACAATAGGAACTACTTCCCCTCTCCAGAGCCTGTGTCTCCAACCATGATGCCTGGAAATTCACTTATATGTGCCATGCACTTTAAAGTTTACAAAACACTTTTGGGTCCCTTAACTGACTTTCCCTCCCCGAGCCTCTAGGAGGGCAGTGGGGCATTAATATTGGCCCTCCTGTGCAGAAGAGGAGATGGGAGTTCAGAGAGGTGAAGTGATTTGCCCAAGAAAACACAGCTAGAACTCTTAGAGGTGGGACTAGAATTCTAGTCCTATCTTCCAGGTCCGTGTCCTCCTGGCCCCAAAAGAGGGAAAAATCCTTCCACAAAGAAACAGTGAGGATCCCAAAGACTGAGCCCAGAATGGGCTTTGAGAATGTCAAAATTTGAATAACAGTGTCACAGCCAGTGTGAGGGGCTTTGGGAAAACCCAACTGGGCCCCGGGGGGAAAGGTACTCTGGTGTGGGAGCACAGGCCAAGACTGGATAGCTGAGACCTTGGACAAATGTCCCTGCACCATGCTGCTGCAAAGATGGGCCCACCTGATGAAGATGAAGATGGCTTTGCGATAGTTGGTCCCAAACACAACCCAGGAGGAGCCCAGGAAAGGTAGCAGGACCTCTATCAGGCCTGGGGCCAGCTTGTCCATCTCGTCAAAGAGGAAGAGGGAGCGGCTGCAGGCTGTGAGGTTTCCCTGGACCCAGCTCTTAAGATCTTTCTGCGGGGGAGAGGCAGGAGTTTGAAGGCACCTGGAGATACTCCTCTCACATCAGACTTCTTCTGAAGGCAAGAACTAATCCTTTCATGGGGCTGGTGACAAAACTGTGGTCCCAAGGGGTCAGAGACTTGTTCAAGCTCACACACACAGCAAGTCAGCAAGCGCACAGAGACTCAAACCCAGGCCTCATATCTGCCTTGTTCAAGACTCCTTCTTTGATAGCCCCTACTTTCCACAAAAGAGGAAGGTTCCCTTCTGCTCCCTGAACCTTCTCAATAATGTTGACAGCTGAAACAGACCAGCCTAGAAAGGACCCTGCAATCGACAACAACGATAGTAGTAAGAGCTACTATTTATTAAATGCTTATTCCAAGCCTCAAATTGGGACCATGCTTTACAAAAAGAAGATAAACAAGATAACGCAGACTGGCAAAGGTAAGTGCTCAATACATAATACCTGCAACTATACAATCCCATGTCCCTTGTCCATCTCGAGCTCTGTTCATGATGGGTCCTGAGGGCTGAGGCTCCAACTGGCTGTGTGGCCTGGAGCGAGTAACACCCCCCCACCCCAGGACTCAGGACTCATTCATTCCCTAGGGTCTGGCACCCCAACATGCAGGTGAATGGTGGTCCAGGATGCCACCAGCCTACCTTGTAGCGCTCCATGTGGCTGGCATGGGGGAAGTGGATGATGGGGGAAAAGTGGTGAACGTGGGGGCTGCGGAGGCCACCCCGGAAGAGATAGTGCGCCAGAAGGGAGCTAACGTAGGACTTGCCAGTGCCTGTCCAGCCATGCAGGGAGAGGACCAGTGGCTTGGTGGGGGCTGGGTCCTGCACGAAGGCCTTCAGTGCCTTCACCACCAATGCCTTGGCCAAGTGCTGGCCGGCCAGGTGCTGAGCCAGGTCACACTCCAGACCTAGGGCCACAAGGAGGACAGTATCAGAGCTGAAGACACACACTTGCCACAGAAGGGGGAGGGGAAGTCATGTCTGGAACCTGGTCTAGGGATCCCTGTGTCTCGGGCAGTTTTACAAACTGTGTTTGGAAAGGGAGTGGGGCCCTGGGGGACTCCGGCAGCGCGGCAGCCACCCTCAGACCTGACTTGCTCGGCAGCGCCCCCACCAGCTGGCCCTCTGCATTGCGCTCAGCTCTAAGTGGCTGTGAGCTGTCAACAGGTTTGGCCCAAGACTTCCTGCCCATTCCTGCCCATTCCCAAGGCAGGCTTCTCCCCTGATGGCCAGGTCCACTGTGGAGGCCCAATCCTCCCCCCAAGGCCCTGCTGTCAAATGCCTCTCTCCATCCTGGCAGGGCTCTGCCTGGACCCCCAAACATGCTTCCCCAAACCCTTGCCCCAAGTCCAGTGCTCAAGACTCTCAAGTCCCTCAACGCCGGGCCCACTTGCGGCCCGGGCCACCCGAAAGTCTGCGGGTCCCGCGCCTCGGTTCTACCCTCCAGGTGTGGCCCGGGGGCAACCCCAGAGTCCGAGGGCTCCCCGGTCCGCGGGCCCTTGCACTCCGGGCTCCTGCAGCTCCTCACCCTGAAAGTCGGGCTGGAAGTCACATTCGCAGAAGGTGCCGAAGTGGCAATGCAGCGAAGTCAGGTCCCAGGCGGCGGCCGCGGCCGAGACCAGCCCTAGCAACCCGAGGAGCGAGCCCCAGGGCCGGCAGCCGCGAGTCGCAGCCGCCATGCGGGTGAGACGGGAGCCGGGTCTGGGCCAGCCGCCCCTCCCTGGGACCACAATTCCCGGCGTGCCTCTCTGGGCGGCAGCCACCTTCCGTAGCCTACAACTCCCGGCTCCCCCCGGAAAGGCCCGAGCCGTCGTCCCGCAGCAGGACCGGAAGGTAGCCTCTAGGGGGAGCCCGCGAACCGTCCCAATCCAGGACGGCGGGCCGCGTTTCCGTGGCCACGGTAACTAGGAGACCATAATAGCGCCGAAAGAATAATAAAGGATTATGACCACAAAGGGTGACGTAACAACTGTAGCAAAAACTTGAGCGGCACCTTAAGCCTTGCAAAGCTCCTTTTCCAAGCTCTGTTTTTATATGACAAAAGAGCGCTCAGTAATAGGGCTTTTGGTGAGCACTTACTAGGTGCCATTAGTGTTAGGTGCCTTATACGTCTTATGATAACAGCACCTGCCATACAGAGAAACGGTGATGTTTCAATGAGATACAGGAACATAAAGTGTTTTGACTCGGAAAGTGATCAATAAATGATTATTGGTAATCCATTATGTATGAAACATGGCAGTCCCCTACCTAGCAGCTACTCTGCCCTAAGTGCTTTAACATCAATCCTAAGGAATCGATTTTGTTATTGTCCTTATTTTATGGAGGAGGAAATTGGGATCCAAGGGGTTAAGCCTCTGTCCAAGGCTCGTAAATAATAGAACTGAACCCAAGTCAAGCTGCTGCCAAAGATCTAATGCACTGTTATCCAGCCTCTCTTGGTCAAAGGATTCAGAAGGCAAAGGACCCAAGACGTTTCATATTCAGTGAACAGGCTCCCCAGGCCTCCAGCCTGGACGGGAATCGTGTTTATCCACATTGCCTACTTCTCCTACCCATGGAATCAAGAGAACTCCTTTCATGGCCCCTCTTAGAGATTCCCTGACCCACCCACCCTGCGCACGCGCGCGCGCACACACACACACGCACGCACACACACGCACGCACACACACACATGCACGCATGAAGCTTTTTGGGACCCTGAAAAGAAATAAGTAGTTCCCTCTGTTGAAAAAGGGAAAGAACTCCAGGTCAGGACACCCAGGTTCCAGCCTCCCTCATTCTGCTGCTGTGACCCCAGTAGAGTCCCTTCTCCCTCCAGTTCCATTTTCTGGGGGAGAGTTGGAATCCTAAATTTCAACAAGCCCTTCCACTCCAAACATCTGGAATGCTTGGTTGTGCATTTGTGGGAACCTTTGCTGCGCTCCCCCAAGCAGGAAACGGGGTGGGAGTAGGGGCTGGCCAGGATTTCTCCCCCTGGTTGGAATTAGCTGTTTCTTTCCCACACTGGTCTGTGAGCTCCTCCAGGACTGGGACTGGGTTTTAGTATTGGCTGTAACAGTGGCTCCTGGTAGAATCTGGAATGTCCCAGGTGCTAAATAAGTATTTACCGTTGAATTTTTCCACCTTTCACCTGAAAGAGGGGTCTTTCCACCAGGGCCCCCTGAGAGACAGAAGAAAGAGTCATAAAAGTTTATTATATGAAAGAAAGAACATGGCTTCTGTACATCTATTTACAGAACAGACAGACATATTTACAACCGGGTGGAGGCCTTGGTGTCCGTTGTGGGCAGATGCCCGGAGAAGAGTGAGGAAGCGTGAGGACCCTCCCATGGCTCGAACACAGGGCACCTCAGCAGGAAGGGGAGAAGCAGAAGCTGGAGGGAGGAACAGGGTTCCGGTTCTTCCTGAAGGGAGACTTGGTGGGCACGTAACAGGTGGGATGGAGCCCAGGGTCCATGCAGGACCTGGAGGTGCAAGGGAGATCCTGGTTTGGGCCCAGAACATTCTCGGGCTGATCACAGTGTCTCTGGGGTGCTCTGGGGAGAGGTCTGTGCTCCTCTGTCCCTGTTGCTGCCCGCAGCTGCAGAGGGGAGGGGTCCGCGGGGGTCACAGTTCACTGGAGCGGACAGCAGGTTCCAATTTGTGGGACAGGGCAGTGAGGACCTTTTCAAACTTCTCATAGCGCCGGGCCTGATTGCTGCTGGCACCCTGGCTGCCCCAGAGAAGGCGCATCTGGAACTCAGTGCTGAACACCTCCAGGAGCTCTGGCCGGGCCTGGAACCCTGCAAGGCAGGGCACAGGGGTCAGGGGATGACCATCCAGCTGGGAAGGCTGGGGGTCCTGCCCAAAGCAAATATATCCCTCAGGGCCCTGTTCCTAAGGGCCTCCCCCCCACCAGCTCCACTAGGATTCCAACAAGCTTTGTCAGTGAACCATGTTTGCAACATGCAATATTTAAATTACTGAAGATAAAATATGAATATCAATTTGGAGGGATTTTTTTTCTTTTTTGTATTTTTCTGTAAGTTTCAAACTTCTTCCTAAGAAACATACACATTTTGCAAGTAAGTGTTTTAAGTAAAAAAAAATTTTGTTGTTCTCTCTGAAAAAGAAAAAGGAGGAAAGACAAACACCAGGATGTTCTCATCATTTGCCTCTGGGTGATTGTGGGTGATTTTGTTTTTTCTTTTTGCTCAGCTGTAATTTCCAATTTGCCTACAGTGAACTTTCATGACTTAAATAATGCCTAAAGCAGTAAAAGCTGGATAGTTTGAAGCTACTTCCTCTCTGCTCTTTTCACGAGGGACATCTCCCTTTCCCCTAGACTGGGAGCTCCTTGAAGGGAGGACAGGTGTGTCTCAGCCCCAGGCCAAGTGCTTTGCAAACAACATTGTAAAGTAATCCCGTTAGGACGTCCACTTCACAGGTGAGAAAACAAAAGCTCAAAGAAAGCCTAGGGGTGCTCTTTGTATCACCTCTGTGTCCCTCCACTGCTACCCGGTACTTTCCACTCACAGTTGAACTGATAAGCGAGTGAAAAACAGGGATAAGGAAAGGGAGTCAGCAGCGGGGGCCGGACAGAGGAACGGAGAAACACGAATGGAGGTTTGGAGGAAATGGGAGAGCAAGTCCGGTGGAGGGAGGGCCGGCCAGCGTGACCAGTGACCGTCTCACCCCCCAGATGAGACCCGTGACTCACCCTGCAGCTTGACCTCCGCGTTGGTGTGATACAGGCCTCCATGGTGGGCCACCGTGCGGGCAGCCTCCAGGTGGGCCAGCACCACCTCCACACCATGCTCGGTGCTGCCCCAGGGCTCAGGGCCCTCTGCCGGGGCTGAGTCACACTCCAGCAGAGTGATGAGTGGCAGCACATGCGGAAACGTGGTGTTGCTCAGCGGCGGGCCTTCTGCAGGGAGGGAGGCAGGCGCTTAGAGACCTCGGAGGCCCCACCATCCACGGCGCTCCCGGCAGAAGGTGAGGCCCTTCCGGCAGACAGGTGAGGTGGGGGTGGGTCTGCCTGAGGTCCCTGACTGAGTCCCCAGGGCTCCCGACTCCCAAGACTAGCCCCTCTCCTTTTGGAATCCTCCAGCTGAACCCACTGCTGCCTCGGCGCAGCCCCGAGGGCTGAGCCTGGTCCTGACCGAGGCTCACACGGTTGTCAGGTACAGAAAGTGAGCACAAGGTTAGCCTGCGCAGACCTCAGTCAAGCTCTGGTCATTGTCCACACTGGGAGAGTCTTTACCGACCCAGAGTGGGGCTGGAGCCTGTCCAAGGTGACACAGCAAGGTGTGGGGGGTACCTTTGCCCTCGTTGAGGCTCTTGAGAAATGGCTTGAGCTTCTTCTCGTAGAGGATGGCACCCTCCGTGTGTCGCTGCCGAAGGGTCACCCATGTCTGCTCCAGCCGGGCAATCTGGGGAGAGCAGACTGTGAGCGCTCAGCCAGGGAAGGGGCCTGCACAGGCCACAAGCCACCCTGCTGAGTGGACAACCAGATGTGGGATAATAATTATTATATCGTGGTCACCTTTCATGTACTAGGGACAGTGCTGGCTGCTCTTCGCATTCTCCTGGGAGGCCTTGCAAGAGCTCATTTTACAGATGAGGGAACTAAGGCTCAGCTAGGGCAATGACTTGCCCAAGGTCATTCCAAAATTAGGTAGCAGAGCTGGGAGTTGAGCCATGGCCTCTGGGACCCTGTTGTTACTATTGACTAGGCATAGGAGAGCAAGTGTAGAGTGTGGAGGAGGGTCAGGCTTGGCAACAGACTTTTCCAGTCTCTGACTGTGTGACCTTATGCAAGTACTGCTGTGCCTCAATTTCTCATAAGTAAAATGGGACAATAAAGGCACTTCACAAGATTGTTCTGAGGAATCAATGCTTATAAAGTACTTAGTGTACCACCTAGCATATATTAAGTGCTCGCTAAATTATAGCCATTTTATATTTATTTTTGAAACTCATATAATGCTCCTCACTCATTTTTCAGGTGGGTAAACGGAGTCCCAGAGAAGGGGCAAGACTTGGTCTTGGAGCAGGTCACCACTTAAGAGACCTCAGTTCTCAACAGTTACCCTTTCACCAATGCTGCCTAAAAGTCACCAAGTTCTTCCCTATTCGAACGTATCCCAGGGCTCCCTCCAGACGGCGACTTCCTGAAGCCCAGCTCGAGACGCGTCCCTCCGTACCTGGGCCATATCCAGGGCGCCCATGACCGCAGCGAAGCTGAACATGTTGCCCATCGTCCCCCGAAGTTCAGCCGCCAGCTGGATGGTCTTGTGCAGAAGCGCGGCCCGCTCCTCCGCGGAGCCCGTGCAGCCCAGGATGTCCACGGCCAGCATGATGGACATGGTGTGGAACCTGTCACAGCGGCCAGGTCAGAGGGGAGGGGTCCTGTCACCGCTTGTGGTCGGGCGCCGAGGGGCGGAGGGCCGAGCCCAAAGTGACAGGTTGGAAAGGGTCAATGAGATTAGGGGGCGCGGCCAGAGTGAGGGGAAAGCAAGGCTAAGGGCTTCTGATTGGTCAGTGTAAATCAGGGGAGGGGCCAGAGGCTTCTGAGCGCCAGGCTGAGGGAGGGACTTGTGATGGATCAGTGGAATTCACGCGGCGGAACAGTTTTAAGAAAGAAGAGTAGCCAGAGCTGATGGGCAGGACTAAGGCTCGCGGAGTGTGATTGGTCAAGAGGGTGCAAAAGATGAATTCGGGGATTGACTCAGGCTTTGGGGAAACGAGGATCGCTTGGAGCTTGATACGGAGCAGTTGCGATTCGTCAATGGATAGAGGGCGTAGCCAGAACCCATGGGAGCCGGGCTGAGAGACTCTGATTGGCCAACCGGCCACAGCAAAAGGGCAGCGAGGTAGCCCGGGGGATTCCCCGCGAGGCCCCGGGTGCAGGTGCTTGCCTTACCTTTCCAGAAGGTCTAGTCGTAGCTGCCGGCCATGGGGGAGGGTGAGCAGCTCCATGCCCCAGCGGACTCCCATTAGGGTCTGCATCTCCTTGGTAACGCCCAGTATCCTAGCAACCTGCAAGGACGCCCCGAGGGCTGATTAATTTCCTGTCGCGGCTGGCCCAAGCCATCTGGGAGTCAGAGAGCTTTATCTAGGAGGGCAGCCTGGCTGGGATGGCGAGTTTGAATTTCAGCTCTCACCCTCTGCCATGGAGCAAATGAACCTCATTTCCTCCTCAGTTCCGTGAAATGAGGGATAAATGGGAAAATGCCCAGTGGTGTTTGATATGTGCCAAAGATGACCAGGACACCTTTAGTCCAGAAGGCAAACCTGAGGCTCAGGGAGGGAAAGGACTTGTCCAAAGTCACACACTGGGCTCAGAACCCAGAACTGCTCCCTTCATGCCTAGCACTCTCCACGGGGCAGTATCTTTGCACTCTTTTCTTGCTTCCTGAGCTGAGAGGCCAGTGTGGCCCCCACATAAAGTAATCAGTGCCCCCCAAACTTCAGAAGGAGAAATTGAGGGGCAGAGAGAGTCTGGGTCCTTAGATAGTCAAGATTCATTCAAAGGCCCAGGCGTTGACAATTTAGGAGTCTAGGTTATGAGTTTTGTTCATTTTGTCCACTGGGGGGGGCAGGTAGTCTCGGT